GTGTTGGAGAAGACTCTTGAGAGTCCCTTGGACTGCAAGGAGATCCAACCAGTCCATCCTAAAGGAAATCAGTCCTGAATATTCATTGGACGGACTGATACTGAAGCTGAAACTCCAATACTTTGACCACCTCATGGGAAGAACTGACTCATTTGAAAAGACCCTGATGCTGGGAAAGATTGAAGGTGGGAGGAGAAGGGAATGACAGAGGATGAAATGGTTGAATGGCATCACCTACTCAATGGACATGAGTTTGAGAAAACTCTGGGAGTTGGTGATGGACAGGGAGGCCTGGCATGCTATGGTTCATGGGGTCACAAAGAATTGGACATGACTGAGAGACTGAACTGAGAAATCATTTAAATGAACCTGGAAGTCTCTTGTAAAAGATGACCTCAGAAGGAGAAGCTCCTTTAAGAGTGAGATGAGTGTGTTTCTGCATTTGTTTCTTTATTTACCCTTGACTTGGAGTTTAAATGGGAATTTCAATAAAAGGGACTTTTCTCTAGTTTTCTGCTGAACCCATAAAAGGAGAGTAGCAAAGAAAACATAAGCTGTCTCTTCTGGTTTGCACAGCTGGCAGCTGGCAGTTCAATATAATAACCTGGAATAAAGGAGAAACAATGGCAAATTTTAGTAGGAAAGACTGTTTGTCTTCAAGACTCTTCAAAGTATTGTCATGGAGTTGTGTTTAGAGAAAGGATAGGAAGCATTTAATAACTCTTTTGAGAACAAGTACAATGAAGCCAGAGGCAAACATCCTTCGGCTGACATCATCCATCAGCATGTGATGCAGTATTTACACGTCTGAGTTTTATCTCCAGAGCAGCTGGCATAAACCTCTACAGATTTCCTCGGTGGCAATATTGCTTTCCACACAGACAGCACAGGTGGAAGGTTTTTCCTTGCAGTTTTCTTTTGGCCCAGAACAACAAGGCTTTTCCAACACAATGGTAAGATATTGGACCTTAGCACCAGGATAATCAAGTTTACACCCTCAGTTCAGCTCAGTCGCTCAGTTGTGTCCAACTCTTTGCGACCCCATGGAAGCACTCCAGGCTTCCCTGTCCATTACCAACTCCCGGAGCCTATTCAAAATCATGTCCATTGCGTTGGTGATGCCCAGGAGATAACGAACTGGGTATCTGATCCATCACATTGAGTTCCAGATTAGTTCTTTTTAAATTTATTTTTAATTAGAGGATTACTTTACAGTGTTAAGTTTCTGCTGGACACAACATGAATCAGCTATAAGTATACATATATCCCCTCCCTCTTTAGTCTCGCTCACACAACCCACATCCCACTCTGCTGGCTGGCTCATCCCAGAGCACTGAGCTGAGCTCCCTGAGTTATACCACAGCTTCCCACTAGCTGGCTATTGTACACATGGTGGTGTAGATATGTCAACGCTGCCCTCTCAATTCATCTCACTCTCTTCTTCCCCGGCTATGTCCAGAAGTCCGTCCTCTACATGTGCTTCGCTATGCCTGCCCTGCAAATAGGTTCATCAGTACCATTTTTCAGATCAGTTTTTAAAAAGTAAAAGGATAGGAAAAATAAAACCCTATCCTGCAAATGTAACGAGGCTTTTTTAACATGCTTTATTCAAAGGCCATTACATGTATGAAAAGAAAAACTTTTTAGTAACATTGAAAGAATAATAATACATTAGATTCCAAAAGTCTGTTCATACAATGAAACTGTACCAGAAGTTATGTACACCTTAAATCAGATTATGCTGCTTTTTGTATTCTTTGAAAACTATAAGAATTCCATTAGAAAGTATCTGACTTCCAAATATTGAGGCCAACCCTGAGACAGCCTTCTAGACCTTCCTACATATTTCACAATCAGCTACTATCTCTAAAACAAAAGTTCCCAGCACACTTCTCACATTTCCTGCTGCTACAGGGCTCCTGACCTGTTTCCTGTTGATAAGTTTTTAAGAGTGGTTCAATATCCTCAGGAAAAGAAATAGCTCATTGTGTACCCTGGGGAACTCAGATCTACCAGGAAAGGTCATGTTCCTCATTTGACTTTTCCCTGCAATTTCTTCAGAATTACCTAAATGCACAAGAATCTAGAAAATAAATCTTCTCATGTTGGAAAACCCATTCACAGGGTGATACCCTCTCTGATTTTTGACAGAAAATTGTTCTCAGAAAGCTGTATTTTCAAAGTCATGTTATGATTATTTCCTATTTTTAAAATTAAAAAAAAAAGAGAGAAGTTTGTGGAAAGAATAATGTGTCATATTTCTTTCTGTTCTTTTAAAATATTTTACCCACATTGTGATCAGTATTGTGGATTTTGTTAGGCTGAGAAGGAATTGAGGAAAGGGTTGGAGAGGAATCGGGTCAAGAATTAGTAGAATTAGTTTCATATGAAATTCTCCAGGCCAGACTACTGGAGTGGGTAACCATTCCCTTCTCCAGGGGATCTTCCCAACCCAGGGATCCAACCCAGGCCTCCTGCATTGCAGGCAGATTCTTTACCTGCTGAACCATCAGGGAAGCCCTTTAATCTATTAATAAATGTTAAATGAAAGCTATTCAGTGAATTAAAGTCATCGTTGTAGCAACACATACAATTGTTGACTTCCCTGGTGGCTCAGATGGTACAGAATAAAGTGTGGTTTCTTTTTTTCCAAAAATAAATAAATAAATGCTATTATTTTTCCTTCTTCCTCATCTAAAATGACACTTCCCCTTAGGTTGCAGATTTGGAGAGAAAACACTGTTCATTACCCACTAACCAGGCAGCTAGGCCTGCTAAAGCAATGACATTTAGAGACATTTGTCATCCACGCTGAACCAGTCTGTAGTTGTGTAAGATGCCAGGGGTCAAAACCAAATATGTGCTAATTTTACTCAGTTCACAAAATCACCTGACTTTCTCATGAGGAAAGGTTTGAATAATACTTAATTGCTTAACTAAAAGCCTAATCCCTGCCTCTTGTTATATGCTTATTATATTAACCATGTTCATTAAACATGTGTACTTGTCATATAAAATACTTTGTAATATCCACAGGTCCCCAGTGTAGGGATCTCAGCAATTTGTTCATGGAAGAAAGTTGTTTTTTGCTTGCTTTCACTCAGCTATTTTTTAAAATTAAATCCCTTCTCTGCTTTGCAACATATTTTTAATATCCCTTACATTATATATTACAATGTAGATTATGAAACTAATTTCACATGTACCTCATTTCATCTAACAGTAACACCCTGAGAAAACTGTAAATATGCCCACTTTATGCCTAATGAAATAAGCTTTGTGAAGTAAAGGGATTTGTCTGATAATAAATTACAATAAGGGGTCTTTAACTCTCATTTTATGGCCACAAATGTAGTTCTTTCTGCATGACACAATAAATTAATGCAAAATTTGTTCAACAATGAAGAAATTTCCTAGCTAACTAATGGAAAACTGAAAGGAAAATTCATAAGAAAGAAATCTACAAGCAATGATTGATAAGTGGCACAGTATTAGGGGAATAAACACAACCATCTTCTCTTTATTGTGTATTTGCTAGTTTTATGTCATTTCACCATGAGATAGATGTTTATGAAAAATAAAAGTGAGGTATCCCAGCTTTCACCGTTGAAAAACAAAGGATGATAACAGATTATCCCTTCTAGTGTTAAACCCCTAAAACTGACCTCTCTAAGCCAATGAAGTCAGGGTGTCGTGCTGGTGTTGTTTGGAATTTCTGCTGCATGTGTGCATATTGTTATTTTGAGCAGGGGACACCTGCACAAGAAGCCTGCTGTGTGTATAGATGTCACACTGTTCCTTTCATTTGCCACGATCTGATTAATAACTTACCCTTTCACAATTCAGTTGACTCATCCTTAGCCATATGCTGAAGACATACGCATAACTAAAAAGATGTAAAATTCAGAATGGTGAAACTATCCTCCTGAAGACAACATGCCTCTCCCAGACTTCTTAGTTTCCTCAAATAGTGAAATAATCAGTACTATTGCAAAAGCAACTACAAACTCTCAATAAGACACATATAACCACAACATTGATTGCTATCATATTTTGTGGAAGAGCACCCTGAAGTTGAGTTTTTCCCTAAATCATAAGTCCATTCTAAAATCGCCAAAACTTTCTACTATTTATATTTATTATTATTAAATCTTCAGTACCTGGGAGAGTACACAACTTAGCAAGTAAACCACAGCAACATCTGGAAGGTATTCAGTTCAGTTCAGTCGCTCAGTCATGTCCGACTCTTTGCGACCTCATGAATCGCAGCACGCCACGCCTCCTTGTCCATCACCAACTCCCGGAGTTTACTCAAACCCATGTCTATCGAGTCGGTGATGCCATCCAGCCATCTCATCCTCTGTCGTCCCCTTCTCCTCCTGCCTCCAATCCCTCCCAGCATCAGGGTCTTTTCCAATGAGTCAACTCTTCACACAAGGTGGCCATAGCATTGGAGTTTCAGCTTCAGCATCAGTCCTTCCAATGAACACCCAGGACTGATCTCCTTTAGGATGGACTGGTTGGATCTCCTTGCAGTCTAAGGGACTCTCAAGAGTCTTCTCCAACACCATAGTTCAAAAGCATCAATTTTTCGGTGCTCAGCTTTCTTTATATAACAGGGACTAAATGGACAGAAATAGGAGCTGGACCCACACTAGGCCAGGTGCATAGAGAGTCTAGAGTTGTGTTCTGCAGAGCAGAAGCTTCCACCTCTCTGAAGGGGGCCTGCAGTTGTGGTTGTAGCTGGAGAACCGTTCACCTCCACCTCCGGCTCAGAGGCTCATGGAGACTCTGCACCTTCACCATGGCTGCAGCTTTTTCACAGGCGCATCGTCTCAGCTCTCTGCAGTCCTTGGAAAAAGCCTTCCCATTGAGGATGGTCACACAGTCCCTGCTTCTCAGGTTGGTCAAATCTATCATAACCTCAAACCTCAAAAAAGAAAGAAAAAAGTTACTTTATCATAGTTTATTTCTAAAATAAGGAAAGTACATAGAGAGGGTCCCAAGCTAGATAAAGTTGTAGAATAGACACCCAGAATAAGTTTACTGAAAAATGGAGTCACCAGCCCCTTTCCTCTCGGCCCCTCAACTTCCACATACATTCCAGGGGCATCAGGTCACTCAAAACAACAAGAACTATTTCTGACTAAAATTAAAATACACATTGTCATCCAACGTATCATATGATTTTACTGCTATCCGAAAAATTATCTATCTTCTCTGTGACTCAGTTTATTTAACCGTAGAATAAAAAATAATCACATTGAATATGTACTCTTTCCTGGAAAAATAATCTTATATAGGTATATAGGGGTTTCCCTGGCAGCTCAGATGGTAAGGAATCTGCCTGCCATGCAGGAAACCCGGGTTCGATCCCTGGGTTGGGAAGATCCCCTGAAGAAGGGAATGGCAGCCCACTCCAGTATTCTTGCCTGGAGAAGTCCATGGACAGAGGAGCCTGCGGGGCCACAGTCCATGGGGTTGCGAAGAGTCAGACACGACTGAGCGACTAACACTCTTCACTATAGTTATACAGAAAGGGGTCTGCTCAAATATGGTTTTAATTTGTTATATATTTTTAAATTAATTTTTATTGGAGTAAAGTTGCTTTGCAACATTGTGTTAGTTTTTACTGCACAGCAAAGTGAATCAGCTACACACGCGTATGTGCTAAGTCTCTTCAGTCGTGTCCAACTCTTTGCACCCCCATGGACTGCAGCCTGCTGGGCTCTGCTGTCCATGAGGATTCTTCAGGCAGGAACACTGGAGTGGGTTGCCATGCCCTCCTCTAGGGGATCTTCCCAACCCAGGGATCAAACCCACATCTCTTACATCGCCTGCATTGGCAGGCATGTTCTTTACCCACTGAGCCACCTGGGAAGCCCAAATCAGCTATATGCATATCTATATCCTTTCTTTTTGGGTTTCCTTCCCATTTAAGTCACCACAGAGCATTGAGTAGAGTTCCCTGTGCTATACAGTAGGTTCTCATTAGTCATCTATTTTATACATTAGTATCAATAGTGTATATATGTCAATCCTAACCTCCCAATTCACCCCAATTCACCCCTCCTGCTCCCCCTTGATATCCATATATTTGTTTTCTATGTCTGTTTCTCTATTTCTGCTTTGCAAATAAGATCATCTATACCATATTTTTAGATTGCACATATATGCATTAACATATGATATTTGTAATATATTTTGATGATATAGATATTACATTTACCAATTTCGGAGGATATACCATACTCATTCCTATCTAAATGCACATATAAGTAAAACTAATTTTTTATAATATAATTATTTATATTGCAAATCCTCAGAGACTGTATTTTGAAAACTATGCTCCCCATTTCATTGAACAGAAAACCAAGAGATCTAAGGTTTTACTTTATCTCTAGGTATTGACAAGTTGTAGAGTTGTGTGACCTTACATAGGTCACCATTACAACCTGGGCTTCAGTTTATTCATCTATAGCCGAGCTTCCTCTCTCTCCCTCTCTTTCTTGCTCTCTCTGTGTCAATGAATCCCACTGGGTCTCTCTCACTGATTTATGAGCCATTCTGAGAGTAAGTACTATATTCTGTATATATCTTTGATGTCCTCCTACACAGTATCTTGTCATTCAAGCAAAATCTATTAAATGCCTTTCCCACGAAATGTGCTAAAGGCTTACAGCTTGGAGGAGTGAGGGGTTCCGTCCATCCACAGCCAGGCCTTGCCGCTGCCATTGCGGGATAGCCCTGTCCAATAAGAGTAGAAAAACTCAGAGTAGCTCTGAGGCATGGCAAACTCCTGTGAAAGGCACACAAGAAAACCTTCAGCTTTAGAGATGTTGTAATATATACATGGAGTTGCGTATATATTGGCTGGCTTGCACTTTTAATACAAGAACAACACATGAGTCCTGCCTGAGTAACTAATAGGACATTTACAAAAAAACAGTGTTCATCCTGAAGTTAGCTAATTTGCCCAAGTTAAAGACTTATTTTGTCTTAGTAAGCATGGACTGAATACTGATGTGCTGAAATCAAGAATCACATCAGCCAAGATTTAGAAATGATCCACTATTTTCAAGTCACAAGATTAAATAGGATTGATATAACAAAATGCAGGAGACAGATTTGGAGACATCTTGGAAATGGAAGAATCTGGAAGGAAAAGTGCAGGAATGTGAAGTAATCTTCACAAATATATGTGACGGGGACTGACCAGGAAGGAGAAAAGAATAATGCAAAAAAAATAGGTAAAAGAGGAATTTATAAGGATGATTTATGTCTCAGATGAAGAAGAAAAATGTTTCATATATTTATATATACATTTTTGTGTATTTACATATATAGAATTCCTTTTCTACTGTCCATATTGAAAAATGTTTGATTATTTCCCTCTAAGTATTCTAATCCTTTAGCATGGAATTTATCTAAATCTATTATAATTATATATTTTTACATCTTTTTCTTCAACAATACTATGAATTCCTTAAGGACATATACTTCATTTTATTTATTTTCACATTCTTAACTCCTCAGATAATTAATGGCATATAATGGTTCAATAGAAGATTATCAGAAATATAAATGAAGCCATTGCTAAGCAACAGTCATAGAATAGGCATATCAAAGGAACTGTAGTAAAAATATTATCACCAAATAAATTGTGACCCCTTTATGTTAAAATTTCTATAAATAAATCATATGAAAGTGATTTAAGTATATACAAATATACAAAGTACATGAGAGAAAATTACTATATAACTTTCATAATAATATTTCCAACCACTGAAAATAGTGTTCTTCAGTGGTATATCTGAATCCTCAGTATATGCTGGAAGTGGGAGAAATGAAGAGAATAAGAAAAATTAACAGAGTTTATGCCAGGTGACACTGTCTTGGCCAAATAAAGTGTCTCATTTTCTGCCTAAACTAAGCCATCAAGAAAGGATGAAAAAGATTATTTTAGTAGATGAGAGAAACTGCAGAGTTTCATTCATCACAGATTTCAGGAAGTGGAAAGGAATTAAGATGCAACTAGAAAGGCATTCTTCCCCAATGGCTCAGAGGTTAAAGAATCTGCCTGCAATGCAGGAGGAGACCTGGGTTCAATCCCTGGGTCGAGAAGATCCCCTGGAGAAGGACATGGCAACCCACTCCAGTCTTCTTGCCTAGAAAATCCCATGGACAGAGGAGCCTGGTGGGCTACAGTCCTTGGGGGCGCAAAGAGTTGTAAGTGACTGAGCATGATGCACAAAGACAAGTTTATAGAAAGATCTTAAGAGTTTGCAGACTTAGTTGAGTATTAATTTTAATTAAATAACTGTTGATAAACTACTCTGTGCCATGACCCCTGCTGAAACAATGATAGATAAATAATGGTCATACTGCTTGAGGAATTTAATTCAAAGTCAATAACAAATGTAAGAGAAAAGGGAACAACCACAGCATTTTAATAGTGAATTTGAATTGTATGTACCTATCAATAAATACCAATTTTATTTTCATATTTTCCTTGACCACTCTATGTTAGGGTATAAACTCCCAGAAGGCAAGATATTTATTTGCAGATTATGGAAACGATTTAATTATATGGTTTTCAATCAAAAGTTTTGTCATTTTCACAGAAAGACCGGAAGTGCTATCTTCATTCCTCTGGTATGGCACCAATATTGCTCCCTTCTTGCTGCTAAGTCACTTCAGTCATGTCTGACTCTGCGACCCCCTAGATGTCAGCCCACCAGGCTCCCCCATCCCTGGGATTCTCCAGGGAAGAACACTGGAGTGGGTTGCCATTTCTTTCTCCAATGCGTGAAAGTGAAAAGTGAAAGTGAAGTTGCTCAGTTGTGTCCGACTCTTAGCGACTCTATGGACCGCAGCCTACCAGGCTCCATCCATGGAATTTTCTAGGCAAGAGTACTGTAGTAGGGTGCCATTGCCTCTTACATAAGACAAAACAGGTTAAGAAATTGAGACATTCTTTATTTGAGTCCTGACGGTGAGTGTGAAGGACTTTCTTTCATGTTTCTAAGGGGTGGATATTTGTGGAGACTGTTCCACAAATGATGACCACAGAGGATCACTCAAAGCAATAAAAATAAGATTAAGCCTTGATTACAATAAATGAGAGAATCTGTGAACCTTGATTGCTTAGTATCTTTTTATTAAATTAGTTTTTATTGGAGTATAGTTGATTTACAATATTGCATTAGTTTCAGGTGTACAGCAAAGTGAATCAGTTATACATATATCCACTTTTTTCTTTTTTTAGATTCTTTTCCCATATAGGTCATTACCGAGTATTGAATAGAGTTTCCTGTGCTATAGAGGGATTTTTATATATAACAGTGTGTATATGTTATTTATTTTATATATAACGGTATGTATATGTCAATCCCAATACCTCTTTCTGAGAATACTTCAAACACTCACCAAGCCTCAGGACCTTACCAGCACTTCCTGTGTGTTTATCTTCAGCATAGTCGAGTTCTCAGCAATGCAGAAATATTCACAGCCCTGCCAACTCTTACTTTCTTTATAGAATTGGTAGCATTTGTCCCCATGCCATTTCCATTTTTCTGGGCAAGGGCTACATCTGTGTTCTTAAAAAGAAACCAAATTGAGTGAGTTATTTTCTACCCTGTCTTCCTTCTCTTAAAATCACGTAATATTTGATGACCCAAGAAACAATTGATTCTCTCTCTCTCTTAGATATTTAATTGCCCAGGCAATGATAATTACAAATGTTTACTGAATACCCACTGTACGCCAGGAATTATTGTTGGGTTTATAGCAGGAACAAAAACAATATAGTGGGAGTTAGAACAGACATGATCTGCTTTCATGGGCAATGGACTCTAGTCATAAATGGTTAGAACTTCAAATTTCTTGCCCTGTGTAATTCAGCATAAAGAAAGTATACTCAAATTCATAAAGAACCTTTTCATCTGTTCAGAAACTCAATATGCATTGGATTTGAGAAACCATTGAAGTTTCTATAATTTTCTTCCTCAATATCCTCTTATACAGTAGTACAAGGATTTGTTAATGAAATATATAGCAATTGGATATGGATTATTTTCTCACTCAAATATAAGTAAATAAAATTTTAGAAAAAGACCACATAAATGCATGAATTAAACCAGCAAATCTCCATGGGTCAGAAGTTAAGATGGACATCAAAGTCAGAGAAGTGCACAGATCAAGGGTGAGATGGACTGAGTCGGTAGTGACTATAAATGCAAGAACTAGGCTCTCAGAGCCATGGTCTAACACCTATGTGGGCACATGGTCCTAGGCCTTTAAGAGTTGGGTATCTGAAACCAAGTCCCTTGTGGGTATGCAGTGAGATGAAAATCCCACCATTCCACAAAAATATCTTTACTTTAAAAGCAATCCAGTGTCAAAATGTTGACATTTTAAAATCTAAGGTCAACATGCAAATGGTTATTATATTCTTGTTTGTATTTTTCTATTTGAAATATTTCATAAGGTAACCCTGTATTTTATTTACTTGTAGTGTTATTTTGGTTATTCCAAGTTAACTGTACTTACTATTTAAAAATGTCTGAACTTGATGAATCCCATCCTGTACTGTAACACAGACACAGTTGAACTACATGATCTCAATAACTAGGGATGACCTGGCTGTTCAGACCCTTTATTAAGTCTGCCAGATGACTTGCTGAATAATACATGCTTCCCAGGTACCCTGATGGGAGAATCAGCTCTGTATGGACAGATGTGCTGAGAACAGAGAGAAGCTCAGGGATCAGGACTCACCTCTAGTTTTGTTATAGAGCTCACGACAGAGTTTCTCAGCCACGTGATGCAGAGTTTCTGTAAGTTTCCTGTTTTGGGTTCGAAGAGATTGCAGCTGTCGGGAGAGATTCCCCAATCTTTCTTCCTTTTGCAAAATGCTGTCTTGCTGAGTATTGGAGAGCTGGTAGAACTGAAAAACTAAACCAAATTACCAAGTGAGGCTGGGCAGCTTATTTCTTCACTTTTATTTCTATTGTCTACACCTGGGGAAAACAAAACAGTGCGTAGTTTGAGATCCCTGGCTCTGAGATATATTGCCTACATTCAGGTTTGGACTCTAGTCTATAATAAATTGCATTGCCCTGGGCAAATGAATTTCTCTATTTCCTTATCTGAAAATGTAGAGTTATAATAACTGTTCCCAGCTTCAGGAATAAATTCCTTAAACATATTTACTGTTCAATAAATCTTTCTGTGTATACTGTCAAACCATTACTCAACCTAAAAGTATAAATCATTTATCTATTAATCATTATATTGAGCATTGACAATGTGCCATATGTTTTTATCACATTCATAGTTGCAAGAACTAGGCTCTCAGAGCCATGGTCTAACACCTATGTGGGCACATGGTCCTAGGCCTTTAAGAGTTGGGTATCTGAAACCAAGTCCCTTGTGGGTATGCAGTGAGATGAAAATCCCACCATTCCACAAAAATATCTTTACTTTAAAAGCAATCCAGTGTCAAAATGTTGACATTTTAAAATCTAAGGTCAACATGCAAATGGTTATTATATTCTTGTTTGTATTTTTCTATTTGAAATATTTCATAAGGTAACCCTGTATTTTATTTACTTGTAGTGTTATTTTGGTTATTCCAAGTTAACTGTACTTAGTATTTAAAAATGCCTGAACTTGATGAATCCCATCCTGTACTGTAACACAGACACAGTTGAACTACATGATCTCGATAACTAGGGATGACCTGGCTGTTCAGACCCTTTATTAAGTCTGCCAGATGACTTGCTGAATAATACATGCTTCCCAGGTACCCTGATGGGAGAATCAGCTCTGTATGGACAGATGTGCTGAGAACAGAGAGAAGCTCAGGGATCAGGACTCACCTCTAGTTTTGTTATAGAGCTCACGACAGAGTTTCTCAGCCACGTGATGCAGAGTTTCTGTAAGTTTCCTGTTTTGGGTTCGAAGAGATTGCAGCTGTCGGGAGAGATTCCCCAATCTTTCTTCCTTTTGCAAAATGCTGTCTTGCTGAGTATTGGAGAGCTGGTAGAACTGAAAAACTAAACCAAATTACCAAGTGAGGCTGGGCAGCTTATTTCTTCACTTTTATTTCTATTGTCTACACCTGGGGAAAACAAAACAGTGCGTAGTTTGAGATCCCTGGCTCTGAGATATATTGCCTACATTCAGGTTTGGACTCTAGTCTATAATAAATTGCATTGCCCTGGGCAAATGAATTTCTCTATTTCCTTATCTGAAAATGTAGAGTTATAATAACTGTTCCCAGCTTCAGGAATAAATTCCTTAAACATATTTACTGTTCAATAAATCTTTCTGTGTATACTGTCAAACCATTACTCAACCTAAAAGTATAAATCATTTATCTATTAATCATTATATTGAGCATTGACAATGTGCCATATGTTTTTATCACATTCATAGTAATATTATCATTTTTATATTTTATAACTTTGTAAACTGGGCTCAGTGAGAACAAGTAAGTTTTTCAATATGACTAGGCTAGAAAATTTCAACTTAGCTTTAAATTCCAAGTTTCTAAATCTAAGTAGAAACATCCTTCATGAATCATGAGAGTCACTGTATATCACTGAAAAGAATATTGTTTGCAAAACAACAGTTATATCAAAATTGGGGAGCCAGGGTAGAAACATTAAGATACACTTAAAAAATTTTTTAAATTTAAGATTACAAACAAGTTCTAAAATTTCCTATAATACAAAACACAGTTTTTGACATTAAAACCTGCTTTTATTGTTAACCACTTTCTTCAACTCTTCAGGACATATTGTTGTAGGGTCCCATCTGTTGAAATAAATTTATCCCCTTTCTTTTCTGAGTTTTAAACTTTATTCTTACTAGTTTGAAAATTAAAGACTTTTATACATGAATTCTTCTTTATTTGATTTCCACAAGTCTCTGCAAAATGATTCTATAACTTCTTGGACTTCTTCATTACAATAGTGTGTGTGTGCGTGTGTTAGTCAGTCATGTCTGACTCTTTGCAACTCCACGGACTGTAGCCCACCAGGCTCCTCTGTCCATGGAATTTTCCAGGAAAGAATACTGAAGTATTCTAGGAAATAGGTTGCCATTCCCTTCTCCAGAGGATCTTCCCGACCCAGGGATCAAACCTAGGTCTCTGGCATTGCAGGCAGATTTTTTACCATCTGAGTCACCAGGGAAGTCCCCCTTTTTAAAATAATATTTAATATTAAATATTATAGTGATTAAAGACTTGGTCTATTCTCTGTACCTTGAGGAGGTTGGATATAAATTAAATCTTTCCCTCTGCATGGCCCACCGAGCCATAAATGCCAGAAACAAAAATCACTGCAGCTGTAGTCTCGGAAAAGGGCTGATGTGTACATTCATTAAAAACTGCTGATGTTAAATATCGATAAATAAACAGACAAAAACCTTCTTATCGCACACAGAATGTAAAGGTTTAGCTGGAAAGTGATTGTGTATTTTAATGCTTCTTCCACTACTCATCATTTACAGGGTTTCATCCGAATAAGGACTTACCCACAGGCTCCAGAATCAAAGTTAAAAAAAATGATAAGTATTTCTCATCCTAGACAAACCTTGAAACCAGGATCCTCCCCCAAGTCAGAGTGCGGACTTACACACAAGCCCCAGCGCGGCCAGGCCAATCAGCAGCCCCAAACAGAGAGTCAGCAGGATCAGGGCCGCTGGGCGCCAAGCAGAAGAGGGACGCCGGCGCTCTGCAGGGAACGGAAGCAAAGACAGGGTTTCACTTTTTCTTCCTTGTGGATCTCCATCAGTAGCAAGGGAGTAAGAGGACTTGGTTCTGACAGGTTTCAAGGTCTAGATACCATTTCCTCGGTCCTGGGAAATAGTAACAAGGCTCCAGGCCACGCCTGACTTATTCTCCGCTAGATTCTTTCACAAGCCCCGCCCACTTCTACCTTCCTCCTCCACTCAGTCCTACCTTGCATTGAATCAGTCTATGCCTTACTGTTAACCTTCTTTTTGTCAGAATTAAAGTCGCAAAAGACAATCACGAAAATGCCTTAACAAAGAACGATTTTTCACATCATCAGAGAAGAAGTATTGTGTTGTTACTTTTTGCAAAACACTCCCTTTCCCAGTTCGAATTAGCAAATTGCCTATCAGTAATCAGGCACTATTGGTAAAGAATCCTCCTGCCAACGCAAGAAAAGCGAGTCTTATGGCTGGGTCAGGAAGATTCCCTGGAGGAGGAAACAGCACCCTTCTCCAGTCTTCTTGCCTGGGAAATGCCATGGGCTGAGAAGCCTGACGAGCTACAGTTTTGGGGGCAGCAAAGAGTCAGACACAACCGAGCTACCCACAATGAGACGTTATTGTTTTACTGTTTCTTTTTGGAATTTCTTTGTTGAAAGTCCTTCTTATTTTGCTTGTTCATTCATTTGATTTTATAGCTCCAAAAATAGATGATAAATGCAACATGATCATCAGTTTTTCAATGATGGATTTAAGTAATCTCCACCTTGTACCCATTAAGGAATGGGGGGAAAAAAAAAAACTCTAGCCAGCATCTTTCCCTTGCCCACATCCCACAAGCTTGCCTTCAGGTGATTGCATAGGTTCTGCTGAGTCAGGGATAAGCTCATAACCTTGTGAGGTCAGCTATCAGTCTGAATAACTAGCAATATCTGACTAGGAAGACCCACAGTCAGATGCAAATATCCTCTAGCATTGTGATAAAAATTAAAGGGCAAACTCTCAAACCCTGGTCTCTTTGTGACCTGTGAGTTTCACTTCATTGGGAATTCAATTTAGGTTCAAAGCAGAAAGATTAAAGACATATAAATTCATTTCCTCTTTAGCAAAGTCCTCTGCATGATAAATTTCAGATACAGAGATTTGTACTATGCATTATTTCCAAGTGGGTAATGATAATTATTAATAGTAAGTAAAGATAGTATAGAAGTAGAAAATATGATCAATATCCTCTGAGACTTATCACCAAACAGGGAAAATAAAAATCAAGATCCAGACATTGATATATTTTAAAATGTGAATCTTATTTTAATTTTATAATCATATCTTTTCACAAAAACTTTCAATGGTGTGCATTATTTTTAGGATAAAATCCATTATCACTTTTCCTAAAGATAGATGGCTCTTTTTAAAAAGTGGGCATTTTATTATCGTACTTCTCAACTTAAAAACTGCCAATAGGGGGAATTCCCTGGTGGTCCAGTGGTTAAGAATCTGTCTGCCAATGCAGAGGACACGGGTTTGATCCCTGGTCCAGGAAGAGCCCACGTAAGTGGGGCAGCTAAGCCTGAGAGTGTGGCAACTACTGAAGCCTGGCATGCCCTAGAGAGCCTGTGCTCTGCAACAAGAGAGGCCACCACAGTGAAAAGCCCATGTACCACAGGTAAAGAATAGCTCCTTGTTCAGTTCAATCAGAGAAAGCCAACACCCACCCAGCAATGAAGACCCAGCACCAGCCAAAANCAGGCGGGACTGGGATCTCTCCGCTGCTCAGCGGTTTTGTCTTTATGCTGTGGCTCTCCTTCCAGACTGAGCTTCTCCGGTGGCTCAGTCGGTAAAGAATCTGCCCGCAATGCAGGAGACCAGGGTTCAATCCTTGAGACAGGAAGATCCCCAAGAGAAGGAAATGGCAGCCCACTCCAGTATTCTTGCCTAGAGAATCCCATGGACAGAGGAGCCTAGCAGGCTACGGGCCATGGGGTCTCAAGGGTCAGACATGACTTAGCGACGAAACCACCACCACCATATACTTGAAGGAGCAAATGCATGAAGGATGAAATTATGAAAAACTAATGTTACCTAAACTATGTAATTTTTACAGAGGCACAGAGCATTGTCTATCATTAAGCTTTACAGGTTGATATTGTATTTTTTTAATCTATTGACTTTTCAGCAATATTTCTGTCAGCAGAGGGCAGACTCAGCTAAATTCATCTCCTGGCCAGACTGGTTTCTAGACACTGACTTAAGTGACATTCTGAAGCATAAGCAGAATAGCAGAGATTTGCTTTCTCCTCTGTTTCCTTCGAGCGGCTGGTCTAGCCGGTTTGGTCTAAATTTTTCTGGAAATTGCTAGCTACTCATGACAGCATCCTTAACCTCACGAAAGAGTAAGATCAGAGACTGAAGACGGCTTGAGCTAAACATTCTCCCGCAAACCCCATGTCTCTTTGAAGTTCTATATAGCCTATATAGCCCAAGAAAATTAACCACATGGATGTTTCTAGATTCCAGAGGCAAGTATATATGTAGACCCACCACCATGGTTAGCTTTATTTTTCTCTCTTATCTATTCAGTTTAGTCAGGTCTGACTCTTTATGACCCCATGGACTGCAGCACACCAGGCTTTCCTACCATCTAATATACTATATATCCTACTTACTTGGAGTAACGAGGAAGAACTGTGGGAGAAGAACTGACCCAGCACCAGGAAACCAGGCTTCCATGATGGAGAGACTACAGTATTGAAAGTTTTACTTATTTCTTTTCTTTGAAGTTATTTTTCCCTCTAGGTACTTTTTTTTTCTAACTGAGTTTAATTTTCCCAAGTTTTGTTCCAAGCGCCCTGATCATAATGAAGTCTCTCTGAGGACCACTCCCACACTAAAATAAGAAAAATAAGCTGCCTGGAGGTGCTTCAGTTTGGCTTGGCTTTATTATGGCTTTATTTTTTGGAAGACAACTCTGATGCTGTCTCCTGAGGCATGTTTAGAAAAAGGTGTGGTCAGGCCAAGGAATGATACCAAACATCCCTAGGAATAATAAGATATATATAGGAAAAAAACACCTCTTTCCTGTAACTTCTTACTATAATATGCTATAAAAGGCTGTAGTGCTAAGGTCGAGTTTTGAATAAAAATCCCTTTGTAGTTACAAGAAATTTTATGGATGAAAGCAGTTGCCTTACTTGAACAACTGCCCTTCATCAGCCATCAAGGAAGAGTTTGTACACCTCCTCTCCCAGGGCCTCCAAGAAATAAAACAACATTGCTGAATGTAGACTTTTTAAATGCTTCTGAAATAAGAAGGGTCCTAAAAGCTTGAAAAGACACAAATAATTGAAATAATTTGCATAAAGTCACATTGCAAACTGGGCTTCCCAGGTGGCTCAGTGGTAAAGAACCCGCCTGACAATGCACGAGATGCCCATTCGATCCCTGGGTTGGGAAGATCCCCTGGAGAAGGAAATGTCAACCAATTCCAGTATTCTTGCCTGGAAAATGCCATGGACAGAGGAGCTTGATGGGCTACAGTCCATGGGGTCACAAAAGTCAGACATGACTTAAACACTAAACAACAATTTATATGTCCAATCGAGTTTCGTTTCTGAAATATATTTCAAAGATAATATTACTATTAATGATAATTGCTAACATTTCTTGAGTTACTGAGATAAATACTGTATAGGAATTAATATCATCCATCCTTACAACTACGTTATGAGGTAGATAGTGTTATCATCTCAGTGTTACAGGTAGGCAGCTGAGTCCTAGATAAGTTAGTAAGGCAATTAATTAGTTAGAAGCTAGTAAGGCAAGGGACTTCCCTGGTGGCTGAGAGGTTATTAAAGTGTCTGCCTGAAATGTGGGAGACCTGGGTTCAATCCCTGGGTCGGGAAGATCCCCTGGAGAAGGAACTGGCAACCCACTTCAGTATTCTTGCCTAGAGAATCCCATGGACGGAGAAGCCTGGTAGGCTACAGTCCACGGGGTCGCAAAGAGTCGGACACGACTGAGCGACTTCCTTTCTTTCACTTTCAAGGCAAGGATACACAGCTACTGATGATAGTACTTATTGAGTGTGTTATATATATTTTAGTGTTTCATTTGAATCTCCCAATAATTATTCAAGAGGGCACTACTTTAAACTTTTATTTGGATAAGAAAATTGCAGTGCCCAAGAGCTGCTTAATTTTCTTACGGTTGCACAGCTAGTAGATGGTGGAGCCAGATATGCTATCCAAGCATTCATTCTAGAGCTGAATGTTTTTTAAAGGTGATTTTATTTTGTTATTTATTTATTGGCCAAGCAGCATGTGTGATCCTAGTTCCCTGACCAGGGGTTGAACCTGTGTCCCCTAGAACTGGAAGCACAGAGTCCTAACCACTGGATAACCAGGGAAGTCCTGGAGCTGAATATTTTAAATCATTTCCCAATCCTCCCAAAAAATAACACATTAATATTTGCCTTTATAAGGGAGCTCCATATGGAATTACAGAAACCCTAGCATTTCCCCACTTGCAACTTTTCATGTCTGTGTTGTGAATATCTTAATAAGAGTCACCTTAAATTTATATATTCTCTACTCTACCACCAAGGTGAGCTTACTAAATTTAAGTCTCCCTCGAGGTTAAAATGTTCCTCGGCTATAAAAGGTCCTCCATAGAAGCATCCCCTCCTACTCTTCAGCCTCAGTTGTCCCAACACCATCCCCCATTACTCCCTCCCTTTGAGGACCACACATTCTTCAGACCAACAGTCTACCTTGCCATCCTGTTTGACTCTGCTGATGATTCCCAAAATTGTCTGGATCTAAATTCCAATCTGACATCTACGCCTGATCTCTTCCCTCTGTAGTTTTGTCTTCCTTCTTTTTCCCATGAATATCCTGCACCGAGCTAGCTCTTATCTCTGTGCTTGTCTTTCCACATGTGGTCATCACTCTGGAAAGGCCACCCAGGGCCAGAGTTGCTCTTCCTGGAAAACCTGAACTTAGACTTACAGACTAGATCAAATGTCACCTTGTTCAAAGATACCCACATGTGTAAACACTGTCAGTAACTTATTGATTCCTCTTTGCTTCCGTGACTTCCTACATATGTTCAATAGCAGTACATGACATGCTGTTCTAATCAGCAATTCAGATCATTCCTTCCACTTCTCCAAGCACCTAAAAATAGAGTCTCCCCAGTGCCTACCATAATGTTTGACTTTTAGTAGGCTTGAATTAAAGATGTGTTGAAACAGTTAGAAGTGCCATGACTCTTTTTCTACAGAGTTTTTTCTTTTATTTATGTTATCATGGAGCTCTTTGCTTTTGGGGGGAGAGGGAGGCCGCAGAGCATGTGGGATCTTAGTTCCCCAACCAGGGATGGAACCCAAGCACCCTGCACTGGAAGAGCGGAGTCTTAACCACTGGACTGCCAGAGAGGTTCCTATGCCATGTCTCTTGAATGAAGGGTTTGTGCTGTGGTTGAGGAAATGAAGCTAAAAATCTTGGAAAAATTAAAAAAATATTATAATTAATATGAGTAAGGGAAAAGTGGAACTTGAATTTAATAAAGGTTCTCTTCTTACTATTATTTTCCCCTTAAACACAAACATGTTTTCACATTTTTTGATAGGGTTATATTTAGGCAGGAAATCTGACCCATAGTTATTTAATTCTCTCTTTCTGCTTCATTATTACTGGGAAGTGCTGTAGTTATACCTCTTTCCAATCTGCAATTGAGTTAGAATCTCCTACACTGTGAAAAATAATTTTAGAAAGCACTCATACAACCCCACAACACATTAGCTCTAACATTTTACCTTTTCTATTTACAGCCAGGCTCCTCAAAAAAGAAGACAGAAAGGGGGGAAAAAAGGAATGAAGAGAAAATTACTTACATTATGTATTTTCTTTCTTAACTACTAGTTCCTTTCAAACCCCTGCTATGAAAAATGGCCAATAATCCATTTTTCTTCCTATTTCTAATAAATTTGTTTTTAAACTTCCTCTTGCTTGAACTCTCTGCTGTATTGTTTATTATTTTTAAACTTTGCTATTTATTACCATTGGCTTGTCCATTTCTCTCACAGTTAGTGTCTCTTGGCCTCCTAGAAGCCTCTCTCTCCTGCTCCACATCCATTACTGTCTATCACCCATTGTTAGTGGGTCCTACTGGGTCTCTTTCTCAGCCTGCCCTTCAACTATATTCCCCAAGATTCTCTCCTTGGCACTCTTCTCCTGTGTTTTGTCTTACTTTGTTTTCATTTTACATTTCTCATTGATCTCACTCAGAAAGTTTAATCCCTGCCTAAAAGCCATCAATTCTAACGTGTGTTGGGTTGGCCAAAATGTTGGAGTTCTTCTGTAACATCGTATGGAAGAACTCAAATGAACTTTTTGGTCAAGCCTATGGGCTTCCCTTGTGGCTCAGTTGGGAAAGAATCCAAGAGCCCCTGGAGAAGGGAAAGGCTACCCACTCCAGTGTTCTGGTCTGGAGAATTCCATGGACTGTATAGTCCATGGGGTCACAAAGAGACAGATACAACTGAGCCACTTTCACTTCACTTCATACATGTAGCTCAGAATCCTTACCTCAGACCCACATGCAATACATACAAGTGCCTTTAGGCAACTCCAACTGCTGGTACCTTCTCTTACAAGCATGTCACACTCTGAATCCATCATCTTTCCTAGTCCTCCTGTAGCTTTCTTAGTTAATGGAAGCACCATCTACATAATGTCAGATGGAACCCAGTCAACCTATGCTCTCCTCTTCCTTGCCTTCCCCCTTTGTAACCGGTCACCAATACTTTAAACACTCACTTCTCAATATCTTTCATATCTAATTCCTCCTCCTCATTCCCACACTACTTTAGCTCAAGTTCTTCTCACCTCATGCTTAGACTAAAGTAAAAGCTGGGTATTAGCTCATCCAGCTTCATATTCCTTCAAAACATCCCCCTCCAACTCTACCCCTTATAATATATTTCATTCTCTGTAATACAGTTACATAAGACTTCCACGGCTTTCCTCTTATGTGTCTGGCTGCCTGTAGTGACCCCAGCCCCTTAAACCCTTCCATTTCTGTCCCCATATCATGAGAAACTTCTTAAAGTAAAGTCCACTCAATGGTCACTCCCTCTTTCAAATCTTTCCTGATCTCCACCCTTACCAGAGAGAAATGACCAATTCCTCTAGGAGAGCATGCCCCATCATAGCACTGCATCACATTTGCTATCCACTTGACAACTTTCTTATTCTTTAAATTTCCTCATAAGCAGGGATCATATCATATTTGAAATTATATCCTCAGTACTTTGCAACATGCCTGGCTTGACACGGACCTCAAGCGTAAGTTTAGGGAAAAGAGGTCTGAGATTGTTGTCTTTCATTTTTATTTTGTATCCTTTGAATTATTTGGCATGTTTTAAACACAAATGTAAATTTTATATCAAAAATTGAAAACTAGAAAATAAGTAAATATGTATACTTTATTTTTATTCATTCTAAAGAAAATATTAAATTTTCCCAGGCATTATTGTGTCACAATCTTAAATTGAATCTGAATCTTCTGCATTGCTGAAAAACTCCCAGAATAGTTGTTGCTGTTATTTTTAGCAGCCAAATGATATCATATCTGATTTTCTAATAAATAATGAGGCTTCTATTGTGACTTTCCTCCAAATACTTGCATTATCATGAGATGGAAACAAAATATCAGACATGTAGGGTAAGACAACTATTATCAGATGTTTGCCTGCAAGACACTTTGACCTCCACTCCTCCTGCTTCCATTCATTCTTACAAAAAGGCTGCCAGAGGTTTCAGCTGGTGTTTTATCCTGCTCCACCCCTCTCTCCACCCTCTAACCTCAGCAGAACTTACTGGTACACCCTGTCCCTGATTATGCTGATCACTAAGCCTTGTGCGAGTTCCCAGCTCTAGTCAAAGGTGAAAATGAAGCTGTATACAAGCGACTTGAAACCACAGTCCTGAGAGCTGACTCTTCACAGGATTTGTTGGAGGAACATACCGTATCCTATTACACATATCCTGTGGCTACAGAAACTGACATCCCAAAGTTATCAGTTTGTTTCATATCAAGGAGGCTGGAAATTTCCAGGATCTAGTACCAGAAACTAGATACTTTAGTATAAATAAATCAATGAATAAAATCTAAAAAGCTACCACAAGAATCCCAGGTGGCACAGTGGTAAAGAATCCACCTACCAAGGCAGGAGACATGGGTTCAAACCCTGGGTCAGGAAGATCCCCTGGAGAAGGAAATGGCAAACCACTCCAGTATTTTTGCCTGGAAAATCCCATGGACAGAGGAGCCTGGCAGGCTAGAGTCCAAGGGGTTGCAAAGGAGTTGGATACAACTGAGCGACTAAATAACACCTTGTAGTATTAGAACCTAATCCTGTCTCTACTACAGTTTGAGGTCTTTTTACCAGGACTCAGGTCACATTTCTGCCTTGGATTATCTCAGTTTTCTAGGAAATAGAATCCTTCTTTTCCGGACTGAGAAAAATATATATGTATGAATGTGTGCGTGCTAAGCCGCTTCAGTTGTGTCTGACTTTGTGTGACTGCATGAACTGTAGCCTGCCAGGCTCCTCTGTCCATGGGCATCTCCAGGGAAGAATATTGGAGTGGATTGCCATTTCCTTCTCCAAGTGATCTTCCTGACCCAGGGGATCGAACCCACATCTTATGTCTCCTGCATTGGTAGGCAGGTTTTTTACCACTAGCGCCACTTGGGAAGCCCGTATGTATATATAGTTACATATAAAGGCAAATATAAATATATATATATGTATATATATATATACACATTATGTGAAAAAGTGAATTATCAGAAATAGCATGAGATATGACTAAAATTACTTTCACAATTTAATCCAATCATTTCAATAATATTCTAGGAGTCAAGAGAACAAAAGGGGATGAGATGGGATATAATTGCAAGTTCGGTCATTATTTATATCACCAAATCATGGAATTTCAGAGGTGAGGGGATGTTAGAAAGCATTTGTTTTGATCCCCTCTCATTTCACAGATAATAAAACCAAACCCCTGATGTTGGCGTGACTCTCCCTGGGCCTCACAACTTCAAGAAGCAGAATTATTACAACAAATTATCAGGGTTAGCGTACCTGCTTGGAAACACCTCTCTAAAGCCTTGAGTTCAAAACTAGCAGAAAGGTAGCCTTTATCAATCTAAATTTCCAGGTCAGATCACAGATGGTAACTAGAACAGCATCGGATCTGACCTTCGCTGGGAACACAGGAAGGAGAAAAGACGTTGCTCTAACTGTCCATTCAATCTCACGTTTGCCTGTGTGCTGCACAATGGTAAAAGCAACACACCCTCAAGTGCAAACCACTCTGCCAGAGACAGACGCTTAGAAAAACCTCTGTGCATATACGGAGTTTAATTTTTTCATGTGTTCATATATGTGGCATACAAGTTGTAGTTAAGTGCACAGATATGCATCATTGTAAATCACAGAAACATTTTCTCTTTTTCCTCCACTTCGTACCCTCCTAGGCTAGGAAGCTGGTACCCTGGCTCATCTCCTGCATTTCTCAAGGGTCTGACCAACTTGGGCGACAGGTACCTGTATGGCCAAGCTCTGGCCGCTGGGATGTGGCAGAGGCTTGAGAATGCAGGCTCATCGTGGTGTCTCCATCAGCGTCCAGCATGTCCCGCGTGCTGCTGTACTTGGCCAGCATCTGGATTCCTGCACGGGTGACCGTGGGCTGCGGCTGGATTTCCCCAAGTGAGACGGTTCAGAGGCCGAGGCACTGAAAGGCATGCCTGGGGTTCTCCTCCGGGAGCGAGTAGTAGGGACGCCTCCGACTCCAGTTCCTGCCGCCAGAGGCCCGGCCCCTGTCCTGTGAACTTGAACTCTGATTGCCAAATCCGTCAGGCCGAGGGGAAGCAGCGTGTGTTTTCTATTTGGGCGGTCTCCGTCTGAACAATCATCCGAGGGGGTGCCCTTCTCGGCTCTCTTTTGTTTATTTGTTAGTACTTCCTGTGTAACTACAACCTAAAAAAGCGGGCAAGAATTTACAATCGCCAGCAGGAAGGTTCCCAGCAATAATCCCAGAGGGACCTCACAGGGCTCTTATCCATCACACTCCCTGAGTTACTCAGATCTAGTTGAGTCGCCTGTGCCTTTGTGAAAAGAAATGATCGGACTGGCCTCTTCCTTTCTCCGAGGGCATAAGGTAAGGCAGGGTCCCCAACCTGTGGGCATGGACTGGTATCTGCTGTCAGATCAGCCTTGGCATTAGATTAGAAGTAAAGTACACACCTGGTCTTCCATCCCTGGATATGTTCCAGTATCTCCCAGTTTATTATCTATGGGAACTTGAATAGGATTTGTATCCTACCGTTGTGTGAAAATTATATAAATCTTAATTATGCTGAATTGGTTCATAGTGTTTTCCAGGTTTACTATATCCTTCTACTTCTCAATATATTCATGCTATTAATTTTTGAGAGTTTGATATTGAAACTCCAACTAAAAAATCTTAATTTATCTACTTAAAAATAACTGCAATATATGACCTTCTCTTATATTTTCCAAGTCTCCTGTAAATGTGTTATCATATTTTCATAATTTAAAAAAGAAAAAAAGAAAATAGTAAAATGATTAAAAAAAATAAATAAAGTGCATAATAAACGTAATGTACTTGAATCATCCTGAAACTACCCCCCGCACCCCTGGTTCATGGAAAAATTATCTTCCACAAAATTGGTCTCTGGTTCCAAAAAGGTTAGTGTGGGAACCAGTGTGCACATGGAAAAGGAGGAGACTTCACCCTATAGGCTTTATATGGTAAAGCATCAGATACAGGGAATGTCAGCCTAAGAGAGTCCTTTCGTTGTTGCTGTTTTAGTCACTGCTGCAACCCCATGGACTGTAGCCCGCCAGGCTCCTCTGTCCATGGGATTTCCCAGGGAAGAATACTGGAGTAGATTGCCATTTCCTTCTAAACAGGATCTTCTTGACCCAGAGATCAAATGCGTGCCTCCTGCATTGGCAGGCAGATTCAAGGAGATTGTTAATAATTTGTACCAAAGAACCTACATTACATTTTTACTACTTGTCCTTAAATACTTATTTTTTTTCAACCATGACAAAGATGCTTACTTCATTGTAGGTTCTATTCTCAGATTCTGAGGCACATCGGTGGAAAACAAAACTCTCTGTACTTTTAGAGCCTACATTATACGGAGGAAGTCAGATGCTATACAAGAAAGATAGTAAGTAAACTGTTGAATATACTACACTATGATTAGAGTTATGGAAAAATACAGAAAATGAGGAAGACTAAGAACATACAGGGGCTTCCCTGGTGTTCCAGTGGCTGAAACTCTGTGCTCCCAATGCAGGGGATCTGGGTCCTATTCCTGGTCAGTTTCCCACATGCCTCAGTGAAGACCTGAGAGCCACAACTAAGACCCAGCATAGCCAAAATAAATAAATGCTAAAAAGAAAATAGAATGTACAGGAAAGGAGTTGGAAATTTTCAATAAGGTAGTTAGAGTCAGCCTCATTAAGGTATGCTACTTGCACACAGACTTGAAGGAGTCTGCAGAAATCTAGGGTGAGAATAGTTCCTGTAAAGGGACCAGGAATCTCAAAGGCCCTGAGAGCCAAGCATGCTGGCTGTGACTGAGAAACTGTAAGGAAACCATTGTCATAAATCAAATAAGTGATAAGAAGAGACCCTCAGCTTGAAAGAGTACATTTCTTTTAGAGTAATACTCAGTTATTTTTATTTAATATTTTTGATGCATTAAATATTCAATCTCTGGGTAAAAATAAAATCTCTATATAAGACAAAAGACATAAGAAGACATGGCCACCTAAGCTCAATAAAGATTTAATAGCAAAGAACATCAGATTATTCCTGCCTGGAGAATTCCATGGACCAAGGAGTCTGGCAGACTACAGTCCATGGGGTTGCAAAAAGTCAGATATGACTGGGAGACTAACACCCTCCTTTCAATCAAGATTATGGCATGCTATACTGGCCAGCAATTGTCTTGGTCAATATACAGTTGTAAAGGTCTTTAGTTTTTTGGTTAGTTTTATTTATTTTTAGATATGTGGGAAGTGAAGGAGAGTTTTAGTTGAGGGCTGGCATGACTTGTTTAAACTGAAACTCCAATACTTTGGCCACCTGATGTGACGAGCCCACTCATTAGAAAACACCCTGATGCTGGGAAAGATTGAAGGCAGGAGGAGAAGAGGATGATTGGATGGTATCACTGACTCAATGGACTTGAGTTTGAGCAAACTCCAGGAGACGGTGAAGGACAGGGAGGCCAGGCGTGCTGCAGTCCATGGGGTCGCAATGAGTCAGACACGACTTAGCGACTACAGCTGCTATGTAGGTGCTCAAAGACTACTTTGAAAATTATTGCAATAACTCAGGCAAGAGGAGATGGTGATCCTTGAAGAGGTAAGTGTTTTCTGTAGCATGGTCATTCCTCATCTTGAATTATCCTTTAGACATAAGGTCTACTAGCTGCTCTTTTCACTTTTCTGTCACTTGGAAAAGCGTGGATGTTTTCTGTTCATTCTCATGCACAATTCCACATTGGCTGTAGTATTAACAAGGGATGTATGATAAATTTTGGACAGCCTAGAGCACTCTGACTTTACATCATCACTTGTTGTTAAAATCATGCTTTTAGTTTTCACTTATAGGTTATTGTTGCCTAGCCCATCTGTTCTAGATAAGTACAGCTGGACATTCAACATACAGACCTATTTTCTTTGATTATCATGATTTCTTCAACTCATGCACTCCATTTTAAGGTTGCAGGAGAAAAAACTTAAACCAAAAACAAAATTAAAATACATGGTATCTTTTCAAAATCCCACTTTATGCCTTAATTTAACTCAGCTTTAATAAACTTTTCATTTCCACATTTCTTTCCAGATAGTGACAACCCAAGTTAGTGTATTAGAAAAGTAATAGTCACGTCACCAAAATTTACTCTGTGTCTCTTCGATTTCTAAATATTTAAGATCTAAAATTTATTCTTCAACACAAAACTACCTACTATACTACTTCCTCCCCAGTGCCAAATTCATCATCATTTTTGGGGAGAGGGCAAACAATAATAGTGCTAATTATACATTGAGCATAATTTAAATGCCAAAGATTCTTTAATTAACATTTTTTATAAAAGTGAAATCGCATAACAGTAATGATTTTAAAGTGAAAAATTCAGTGAGCTTGACACAATTTCTGTTCACATATTAATAAACACTAGAAGGCTGAGAATATCCCTCCAGTAATTATGGAAATCCCCACTGGAAATATAAATAACATCAATGGGAAAGTTTAAAAGAGACAAATCATCATATAAGGAAACTTATTTATGTTCCAATAATACCTTTTACAGTAATTTCTGAGGAATTGCTGAAAACTGCAAAACAGTCATCATAAAAATAATAAAACATGTTTTGCATTACCAAATGTTAATACCTTGGCCAATAGGACAGGTTACGTTTTTATATTTATTAATCAAATCTTTTTTTGATTGATAGTATTTAAAAAGAGAAATGTTTCTTACCAAAGTAGATTCCCTATAATTTCACATTATACAAGATTCTCTTAGCGATATGGCAGACATATTCTCTTGGTTATTTAATTAAAGGAAAAAAAGATACAATTGGTGGTTTTTATGATGCTTTTGATCATAATCATGACCATATTGATGAATAAGATAACAAAATGGTTCTGATTTTAGTAAAGCATTTTTTCCCTCTTTTTCATTTAGCTATTCAAAATGTATTTCTATCTGTGTATGATACACTGCTAAAAGTGGAAGAATAAGTAGTGGAAACACACCACATGAACTCCAGTGGCAGTTTTTAGGACAAAATACAACTCTGGTATAGTCAGAAATTAAGATCTCCTGAAACACCAAGAATTCACAGCCAATCCTAGATAAATAGAATGGCAGAATGAAAATTCTACTATTGATAGAATGAAAATTCAAGGTCAGGTGTTCTGACTCTATTTCTAGGACTTTAATAATTAGAACACAATACTGATTACCCAATAGACTTGAAGAGTATGGAAATCACAGCCTTCCATCCTGTTTCTCAGCTAAGATTAAAGTTGGCTGAGCTCTCTTGATATTTTTTTCAGCAATTATTTTGACCTCAAATATATCTCTTTTCTCTTTGGATTTATACCCTCCTTAATATCTTACATACTTCTCTCTGATCCTCTACCATTATACTGACAACTTCTTCTCACAAATACTGTATGAATGCACACTACAAAGCTGGTCGTAAATGTCTGACACATGGATCCATACACAATTGTGAGATGAGTCTTTTTCGGTAACTGTGCTTCTGATTTGAAACCTGTTAAAATAAAACACAGTATAATAATTAGAACAAACATAGGGAATACTATTAATATCTATTGTCTCCACAATACTGGCGTAGTTGGTAAAGATACTGGTGAAAACAGTTTCCAAAGTGTATATTATTGAAAAAGAAAACTTGAATTTAAATTCAATTTTTTCCAAATGGTAGCAAAACTACCTTCACTATTAAGGCATAAAAAGGACTCAAAAAATTTCTAAGAAATACTACTAGTTGAAAATAAAAAAGAAAAACCATTTAACACTTTATAATATTAAATTATAATACATAATAATTCTTTACTTATCTTTCAACCTTTTACCTAGAGGTATACTTATTAAATAAAGTAGCAGTTTAATAAAATTATTATTGGGTACATTTAGTGAGTAGACAAAGTAGAAGAGTTCTTGCTGACAGTGACTGAGAACTAAGTGAAGAATCACAGATATCAAGGCCATTGAAAAGCAATTCAAACAACTCTCTATATTTTAAAAAATGTTTATTATTTTATTTATGTGGCTGCTCCAAGTCTTAGTTGTGGCACATAGTCTTTTTGGTTGCAACACGTGAAGTCTTAGTTGTGACATATCTAGTTCTCTGACCAGGGATTGAACCCGGGGCCCCTGCACTGGGAATGTAGAGTCTTAGCCACTGGACCACCAGGGAAGTCCCAAACAACCCTATATTTTTTAATGAATCCTGAAGGTTGTATTGTATTGCAACATAATAATAGACAATTATGAGAATTACCATGAATAAACAGAAGCATGGCTCTGTTCTATTTGTCCTTAGTTTCTTAAAGGAGGAGTGTCAGTTATTAGTCAAGCTCAAAGGGCATCCCTGAGCCTCAGTGTAAAAGCTAAGGTCTGGTACTCTTCATCCTGTACATCTATCTCTTCTTGGTCCTGAGGATGGAGGAGTGAGAGAATTCTGTTGAAATAATTAGGCCAAGGTCATGAAACAACTTTGATCCAGCCTCAGGGAGAATTCTGGCCAGTGTTCTCCAAAATATCTTTGTGACATCTAAGAGATTTTGGAGAATGTACAGAGCCAGATTAAAATGACTGTCACTGATGAGTAGTTACATATCAAAATGTTAATTTGGACCTACTCTTATGACTTTCGGGAGTCCACTAGTCAGTTTTTAAAATAGCAAACAAAAACTCAACACAAACAAGTGCTATAGAAAAGTAAAATATATATTTTGTCAAGATCGTTCGTTAATAAATTCAATGTGCTTGGGCCAAAGTGAGATAGTTCAGTGGTATAAAATCAAGGTGTGATCATACTCAGCAGTTTGTACTATTCACACCCAATAGTGCTTGCCAGAAGCAAATGAAAAGCCACTCTGCAAAATTCAAATTAATTCTACAAAAGTTTAAGATATGTTAAGCGCATTAACAACAACAACAACAAATACCTCAGGCATAGACGAAAACAAATAAATAAATGAATAAAAATTAGAAGAAAAATGCAACTTTCCCAGTGGTCCACTGGTTAAGCCTCCACGCTCTCAATACAAGGACCCCAGATTCGATTCCTGTTTGAGAAACTAGACCCAACATGCCGCAACTAAGTGTTCGCATGCATGCTGTAACTAAAAAGAACCCTCCTGTCACAATGAAGACCCCACCCAATCAAATAAATAAATGTTTTTAATTAGAAGAAAAAGATAACAGAAACAGATACACATGAGTGTAAAACACTAGGTTATCAAACACAAATATTAAAGCAACTATACAGTGCATTCTAGGAGTTAAAAGACAATATTGAGAATGTTTTGGAAAAGCTAAGAATTATAAATTGCAACTGGATAGATTTGAGAAATTATAAAACTGAAAAATCCATTAAACAAAGTTAAAAGCTTAATTAAGGCTTTTAACAGCAGTTTAACTGAAGAAGAGGAAAAGCAACGAAACTGAAAGATGTATGAGAGGTAAATAGGTTAAAGAAAAAAAGACAAACTATAGGAAAAAGTAAATGAGACATATAGGATATTGTGAATGGGTCTGTAATATATTTAATTGGAATTCTGTAAGAAGGGTAGAAAGTCAGGAAAGAGCAACATTTGAAGCAAGTATGGCTGAAAATTTCAAAGCTGAAAAAAAACTTGAGATTTAAAACTTATATTGCTCTCAAATAATTGACCTTTCAAAAATAACAATAAAAATAGAATACATTATAATAATATCTTTGAATGCCTAAGAGAAAAAAGCTACATATTTCTAATTTTATACTCAAATATTTTTTAGAAAAGTTGAAATAAAGAGTTTTAGACAAGCACAGAGAATTCAACCGTAAAATTTCAGCTCTAAAGGAAATACTCAAATGTATTCTTCAGATTTAAGAAAATGATTCAAAATGAAGGTAGGAGAGGCAGAGGGGAATAAGAAGCAATGAAAACCATGAATCTGTGGGAAAAATCTAATAAACTGCATACATCTCTATTGTTTTCGAGGGCTATATTTTTATTGACTCCGAGATGCCATCAATCGTTGGTTGCCATTTATTTAATTTAATACTGTGAAATAAATGCATCCGAAATGAGAATTTAGCAGAAAACCCTGCAGAAGCTGGAAAACAAAGGACTATTTTGGTGCAGGAGTAAATGAAAAATAAAACTGCCAAACAGATAAAATTAACAAGAGAAATGTGCATTTCTCAATCTTGCCACCAGGAGGAGTGTTGTTGCCAGTGTTGGTTACTTAGTCGTGTCTGACTGCCACACCACGGCCCGTAGCCCGCCAGGATCCTCTGTCCATGAAATTTCCCAAGCAAGAAATACTGGAGTGGGTTGCCATTTCCTTCTGCAGGGGTGCTTCCCCACCCAGGGATCGAAGCCGGTCTCCTGCACTGCAGGTAGACTCTTTACCGTCTGAGCCACCAGGGAAGGTGGTAGGCAGGAGGAAAAAATGATATCCCCTGGATGTTGAACCACAAGCTGCTACTTACACAGTTTCTCTATCTGAACCCTTGATAAAAGCTTGTGCCAGACACTGTGCCTAGTGATTTTACTTTCATCTCAAAATCTTTAGAGGTAGGAATTATTTTTATTCTCCTTTACAGATTTGGAAAGATTAAGCAATTTATCCAGTTCCACACAGTGAGTGGACCAGACTTAAGCTAAAACCTGACTTGAAAGCCCTGCTCTTAACCACAGTTTTACACTGAGCTCCTTCCTGGGAATCTTCAAACACATGCCTTCCTGGTAAGAAAGCTGAGGGACCATTTGTGTTGATATCTGGAAGTGACCACTCAGCACTTTTTGACCTGTAAGTCCTTCTCTATCCTCTTGTTTTGCTTTTTTTTCCCTGGCTCGGTGTCTCTTCCCATCACTATGTTTCTTTTTCTCTCTCTTTCTTATTATGGCCAACAGATTGGATCCTTGACTGTGTGACATGCTCATACCTCCCTGAGAGAAGGTATGAAGCTTTGTCTCTCTGGATACTTACAGGTTAGACAACAAGGTGGAGCCATCCTCCCAGAGCCATGGTTCTTCTGTCCGCCGGCGAGAAAGCCCTATCCAAAATGAATGATCAGGTTGGGAAGACACTTGCCTTGATATAAATTCCTGTAAGGAAACATAAATGCAAGTCAAGGAGAGAGGAAGAGAGACAGTGAAGGACAGAGATGATAGAGACAGAGAAGATACAGAGAAAGACTGTTAGGAGATTTTGAGAGACAGAGATTGAATCACCTTGATGGAGGATGCATGCATATACTGGCGTCAACCTAGATAGACGTGCCAATTCTTGAATGCCACTGGCTGTCTCAAAAAGCATATCTCATTTTTTCAGATTCCTTATCATTTAATTTTCCAAAAAAGAATAGATCCTTCTTTTACGTATAGCTGTCCAGCTTTTCCAGAACGACTTATTGAAAAGATTGTCTTCTCTGCATTGTGTATTCCTGGCTCTTTTGTCATAGATTAGGTGACCATAGGTGCATGGGTTTACTTTTGGGCTTTCCATCCTGTTCCATTGATCTATATTTCTGCTTTGGTGCCAGCACCATACTATCTTGATACTGTATAGTCTGAAGTCAGGGAGCCTGATTCCTCCTGCTGTTTTTTCTTCTCAAGATTGCTTTGGCTATTTGGGGTCTTTTGTGTTTCCATACAAATTGCAAAAATCTTCTAATTTTGTGAAAAATGCTATTTGTAATTTAATAGGAAAATTTCATTGAATCTGTACATTGTTTTGGGTAGTATAGTTATGTTCACAGTACTAGTCTTCCAATTCAAGAACATGATATGTCTTTCCATCTGTTTGTATCATCTTTGATTTCTTTCATCAGTGTCTTATAGTTTGCTGAGTACAGGTTTTTTGCCTCCATAGGTAGGTTTATTCTGAGGTATTATCCTTTCTGTTGCAATGATAAATGAAATTAGAACACTCCTTAACTCTATACATAAAAATAAACTCAAAATGGATTAAAAACCTGAATGTAAGGCTGAACACTGTAAAAGTCTTAGAGAAAAGCATAGGCAGAACACTCTTTGGCATAAATAGCAGTAAGCTCTTTTTTGACCCACGTTCTATAGTAATGAAAATAAAAGCATATGAAAATAGATAACAAATGAGACCTAATTAAACTTAAAGTTTTTACACCACAAAGGAAGCCATAAGCAAGACAAAAAGACAGTCCTTAGAATGGTAAAAATATTTGAAAACAAAACAACTGACAAGGGATTGATCTCCAAAATATACAAACAGCTCATGCAACTCAATATCAAAACAGACAACAGAATAAAATGGGCATAAAACCTGAAGAGACATTTCTCCAAAGAAGACATACAAATGGCCAACAAATCCGTGTAAAGATCTTCAACATCACTAACTATTAGAGAAATGTAATTCAAAACTACAATGAGGTATCGGCAGTCAGAGGTGACACCAGTCAGAAGAGCCATCATCAAAAAACTACAAACAATAAATTCTAAAGAGGTTGTGGAGAGAATGGAACCCTCCTACACTGTTGGTAGGAATGTAAATTGGTACAGCCACTATGGAGAACAGTATGGAAGTTTCTCAAAAAACTTGAAGTAGAGATCAGATCAACAGGCTTATTAGAAGGATGAACTAAGGTATCTACCACTATTATTTTTGTAATCTGGTCTTTTAATAAACAATTGAAACAAATTGAAAAAAAAACAACTTGAAGTAGAACTACCATATAACCCAGCAATACCAATGCTGGAACATATACCCAGAAAAACCTGTAATTCAAAATGACACATGCACCTCAATGTTTATTGCAGCACTATTTGGAATAGCCAGGACATTGTAGCAACCTAAATTTCCATCAACAGAGAAATGGATAAAGAAGATGTGGTACATAAAAACAATGGCATATCACTCAGCTATAAAGATGAATGAAATAGTGCCATTGGCAGAGACATGGATGGACTTAGAGACTGTCATACACCGTGAAGTAAGTCAGAAAGAGAAAAACAAGTATCATATAATGTTGCTTACGTGGGAAATCTGGACAAGGTGATACAGATAAACTTATGTGCAAAGAAGAAGTAGAGACACAGACATAGAGAACAAATTTAAGAATACCAAGGGGGGAAGGAGAGTGGGATGAATTGGGAGATTGGAATTTATATATATATATATATATAAAAGTAAGTAAGTGTTAGTTGCTCAGTCATGCCTGGCTCTTTGCGACCCCATGGACTGCAGCCCATCACGGTCCTCTGTCCATGAGATTTTCCAGGTAAGGATACTGGAGTGGGTTGCCATTTCCTTCTCCAGGGGATCTTCCCAACCCAGGGATCGAACCCGGGTCTCCTGCATTGCAGGCGGATTCTTTACCGACTGAGCTACAAGGGAAGCCCTGTACATAAATACATACACACACACTCGTGCTGGGTGCTCGTGCTCACTCAGTCGTGTCCGTCTCTTTGCGACCCCGTGGACTGTAGCTTGCTGAGTTCCTCTGCCCATGGGAGTCTCCAGGCAACAGTACTGGAGTGGGTGGCCATACCCTTCTCCAGAGGATCTTCCCAACCCAGGGAACCCGGGTCTCCTGCATTTCGGCATCCCAGGCAGATTCTTTAGCACTGAACCACCAGGGGAGTCCCATACATACACTCCTATGTATAACATAGATGACTAATGAGAACTACTGTACATAGAAACACAAAAAATGAGAGTAGTAAAAGTAAGTATAAAAGGTGCAGGTTGTCAAGATTTGTATTGTAGAATGTTTCCTGACTATTAACCCCTCCTCATAGCTCATCTGAGCTCTATCCTTCATGCAAGGTGTGTTGGAAGTTGCTCTTTTTCTGTGCAACTTTTATGTCTACAGGAATTTCTCTCTCTGAATTTCTATGGCATTTGGTGCCAATATGAGATATCTAACTTTTAACAGCTGTTGAATTGTTTCTATTTTCTTAAAAATTATTTGAGCATTGCTAAAAGTTTACTTTTAAACCTCTTTGCCTTTTCCAGTACCTTGAAAGGAATAAATTATTTATAAATGTATATTATCATAGCTTGGTAATTATGGTGATAAGGGGAAGAAACTTCTATTTCACTGTACCACATTTAAAACCTAAAATCCAAACCCACAAAAATGAGTGTGGCTTGATTATTAGAGTCAACTTGGAGTTGTGTTTAAAGGATTTATTTTAAAGCGAAATGTACTGGAGTGGGTTGTCATTTCCTTCCCGATCCAGGGATCGAACCTGGGTCTCCTGCATTACAGGTGAATTCTTTGCCAATTGAGCTAGCAGGGAAACCCAAAATGTGTTCATATTTTAATTAATTAAAAAGAAAAGCATGTATTATATACTTTACTCAATATATGCTATTATTATAATTATGGAGAATATGTAAAATTATTTTCTCTTAGGGAAAATAGTTATCTGGAACCTCCCTCTACTTTTCTGCTCAGTATAGACCACAGATATTATAACCACAATCTACACTTACCAACTCTTTTGAGCTGTCTATCTTCAGGAGATTAGAGCCCAGTTGAAAGCATCGTCTTTTACTGCTCTCCCAGGAATCTAATAGTGTGCTAAATAGATAACAGCTATCCTCATGTGTGATCCAGTTAGGGGGACAAGAGCTAGAGAAAACTCCTGGAAATAAAAGATAAATACAATGAGGTTCATACTGTGAATGGTACTTCAGTACAGGTACCATTCATCCTAAGGACATAATAATCAATGAATTGCCATGAATATATTTCATTTTCAATTCGGACTATATAGATATGCCCTTACAGAAGGGATCGTATTAAAACCCCTTATTCATTTACAGCTAAAAAATAACTGAGTGACTACAATGTTTTAGACTATCAACTCTCCTTTCATTCTTGTCTTGTCTTCCACGCCTTCACAGTCAGCTCAGAACTCCTTTTCTCCATGATAACTCTCAAAACAAATCAATGCAATATCAGTCATTGAGATATACAGTAATTTCATGTTGACTTATTTTACAGGTGTGACATCTATTTCAGAATGCAATTCACCAAATAAGAAAAGTGTAAGAGCATGCATTCACATTACAGAGTAATGTGATAAAGACAGTGAAGAGGTATGTGTCCAGAGATGGAAAACTGAAGTCCAAATATTGTCATAATCAATAATGGTGCAATTAGGAATTAAAGTCTAGTGTATACAAAATTGTAATTAAATCAATTAATTTGTATGATTAAAGAAAAACTTAACTGGTTTTCAGAAACATATTTATTAGTTTTTTGGTTTTTAACCTTTTTTTTGATTTTTTAATTCTTTGGCACCCTTTTCCTTTTTTTCTTTTTTTTTTTCTTTTTTTTTTTTTAACCTTTTCTGGTGTCCTATTTCCTATTTTAACTATACCACTTTAAAATGTCTATTCCCTATGGTGTGAGAACACATTATGTTCCTTCAAATCAGATTACACAAACCTCTAAAAGCTTAAGTATGTGAAAAATTAGTGATTTGAGAAAAATCCAACTAAGTTGGAGATTCAACTAAGTTCATAAGGTATTTATGCTATCATTTTGTAATCTGGATCTCCTGCATTGCAGGCAGATACTTTACTATCTGAACCCCTAGGGAAGCCCTTGTATATTACAGAGGACCTATTTTACTGAGGTAATATTGCTGTGGGTTTTATTTGAATGCAGCATCACCACATGTAAAAGTACTTTCTTCATCCCCTGCTCCAAGCCTTAGTACCAAAAATTGACCCTTCTTAATCAAGGATCTTATTAATCCTTAATTCTGCCCTTGCCTGTGGTCGTGAGAGCCTTGGTAGGTATCACACTATCTTCTAAAGATGATTGTGTGGGTTGACTCTGGTTGTCTTTATTTCTTGATGGAAAGCTGTCACTCTTCAACAGGTTGTTCCCTGAACTGGATCTCCAAATACCTTCATATACCAACAACAATAGTAATGACAGGAAAAAAAAAAAGTCATTTTTACTATGTTTGAGATGTTTGAGAATTAAAATCCAAAAACCTACATTTTTGTTGGAATATAAAGGGATGCATTCTTAATTAGTGATAAATAGATAATACATTGCTGATGGAGAGGTGGAGATAGATGGTAGATAGATAGATGCTAGCTTGAATAGATTGATTAGATGGAAAAAGAAATAACTTCCATGAAGAAGATTTAATGCAAAAGAGATAAATGAAGTAGATAGGAGGATGGCGAGGGGGAGTAAGAGGCAAACGGAATATAGTCCTTTGGTACCATAATAGATTTGAAATAGTAATAAATCATCTTTATTATATTATTTTAAAAATGAGAGTTCCTTGAGAATCTGCCAGGTGCCTATAACATAGAATGTATTCAATAAACACATGACTAGTTAAGAAATCTTTCATGCTTTCATATACCCTCTTCAAAGGCACAATAATACCTTATCCAAAATGGAATGCATGAACGATAAAATCTAAGGAAATGTATTCATCTATTACAAAATAACTACTTAGCATTTCATAAATGCTTTGAGTATTTCCTGATATTATCCAAATGAGTTTACAGATCATGTGTAAAACAATTTCCTTAAATCATGAGATGTAAAAAAATAGCTTAAATTCTTTAGGGAATTTATCTCTTAGAAAGATAACACCAATTGCACTTCCTTCACCTCCACTGGTTTCCTTTCATTAATTTATCCTAGGAATTCCACAGCTTTGAAACCAGCTATTCAAGCTTTGAAACCAGCTATTTTATCTCGCAGATAAAAGTATGAGTTATCAAGACAGATTGCCTGCATTTCTAATCATGGTCCTAATGTTAACTAGTTTATGAGCCTAGAAATAAAGTTAGAACTAATAGCATCAATTCAAAGGGTCTGTATTCAGATCCGGTTAGATTTTATGTTATGCTCTTAAAAGAGTGTCTGGGGGAATTCCCTGGTAGTTCAGAGGTTAAGACTTCGCTTTACAATGTAGGGGGTATGAGTTCTATCTCTGGTCTGGGAACTAAGATCCCACATGCCTTAGGGCCAAAATACCAAAACATAAAACAGCAGCAACATTGTAACAAATTGAATAAAGACTTTAAAAATGGTCCACATTAAAAAAATATATATTTCCTTAAAAGTGTGCCTGAAACATCATAAATTCTTGTTAAATGTCTGTTGTTGTTCATCTTTCCCACCACTACTTACCTGAGGTACTCAGGACCACAATTATCACCAGCATCACTGAGCATAAAATGCCCAGAGTCACAGCAATCAGACGGCAATGAGAGGATGCAGCACAAAGTCCTGCAAAGTCAAAGGGAGCAGAAACTGAATCAAGAAACAGGATGATAAATCACTGCGCACTTCAGTTCTACAGTTCATCAAAATCTGATACCCAGATAACCTACTCATCTAGGGTTAGTCTGAATTTTTCTCCCTCTTTAGTGTACCTCTTCAGGGTCAGCAATTTGAGCACAGTGCCTTGAGAGCTATGCACTCCTAATTTCAGCTCCACATTGAATATCTACAGGTCTTGACACTACCAGGATTCCCATCCATTCTTAGAAGAGACAGCTTAATGTAGCAGAAATAGCACTGGTTAGGAAGGGTAATCTTCCTCTTTCACTTATTTCTTGTCTGTTGTTGGGCAAATTACTTCCTTCATTTTTCCACTTCTCTTTGTGAAAAATTAGGGTAATGGTACATCAAAGAACCACTGTGGGAATTAACACAAGTAAAAGCACCTAGTTTAGAGACTAGCACTGTATAGGCAATTCACAGTTTGTTCACACACACCTATAATCACACACATGCCTTCCTATCTCTTGCTTCACCATGTTTTTCCATTCTTCCCCAATAGGTTGCCCAAGAAAACAAAACTGTGTGACAAGAGGAAAATAATTGTGCAATGGGAATGACCAGAAAGCAGAAGAGAGCAAATGCTGATGTCAAAACCTGTGAATAATCTCTTTCTTGATAACAGGAAACTCACTTTATATTAATATCACCACATCAAGACTGAGAATAAGCAATAAGAGCATTTCAGGGAACTGTCAAATAGAAGAATCATAGAGGAGATTAAATTGCTCACTCAGTGAAAAGAGAAATCTTTTAATGCCCTTCTCCAGATTTCACTTTTTTTACATAATGTCTAAGATTCATGTCCTGATAATGGAATCTTTTATCTAACTCATATATATATGAGTTATACACTGTATAACAGTTCACTGTTATACAAAGAACATTTTTAGTTTAAAATTTTTTTTTTCCAAATCAATCTCATGATACACATAAAAAAATCAGATTCGGGATTCTAAACCATATGACTTATTTTATTTGTAATTAAACTTTTTATTTTGTATTGGAGTATGGCTTCCCTGGTGGCTCAGTGGTAAAGAATCTGCCTGCAATGCAGGAGCTATGGGAGACATGGGTTCGATCTCTGAGTGGGGAGTATTTTTGTCTGGGAACTCCCATGGACATAGGAGCTTGGTGGGCTACAGTCCATGGAGTTGCAAAGAATCGGATACCATTGAGCGACTAAGCACAAAAAAATGAAGTATATTGAAGTATAGTAGATTAACAATGTTGTGATATTTCAGGTGGACAGCAAAGAGACTAAGCAATACTTACACATGTATCCATTCTCCCCTGAACTCCCTCCAGTCCAGGCTTCCACATAACATTGAATAGAGTTCCCTGTGCCATACAATAGGTTCTTATTATCTAAACCCTGGCTTCTGACTTCCCTTTGGCCTTTTTCAAAAATCTTAAGTTGTTTTTCCTGTCTTCTTTCTTTTTTTTTTCTAACTCCAATAACCTGATGTTGTTCATATGCACTTCTTTAAGTTTCCTTAACCTTCATTCTACAGTTCACTCTTTTCTATCAAACAAGTCACTCCTATTGAAATTTCTTCATCTTTGCGTTTCATCACATTTATCACCAACTCCTTACTTTTGAAGCATCTGTCTCTGTAGAACAGAGAAAGTGTGCATATTTTCTATCATCATTAGAATTAGCTTCAATGCAGTTGATCTCCACTCCAGTACTCTTGCCTGGAAAAATCCCATGGATGGAGAAGCGTGGCAAGCTACAAGTCCATGAGGTTGCAAAGAGTCGGACACGACTGAGCCCAAACCCGTGTTATCCAAGGACCAACTGTGCTAGTGATTAGCCATTGAATGGTTGCCCAGAGAACAGTCTTAGTGCCCATTCAAATTATCTTCAGTGACTTCTGAAAACCTTTTAAAGTAAAAGCCTGGAAAACCAGAAGTCTGTCCAATTTTTTCCACTTCCAGTTTTAGTTATAAGAGTGTGAATGTTGAAGTCAGAAAGAAAAAGATATACCTTTCTCTGAGACTACAGATCTCCTGGTGATGTTGCGAGAGCTGAAGTCTAATTGAGTATATCCATCTTCATCCAAATTTTCTACCGAAGATTGGTATTCCATCGTTCTACTGAGTTCCTGAATTGACACAGCATCTGAAAGCTTTCTTCTCTCTCCTAAGACAACTGCCTGTGGACAAAAGAGGATCTGTGAGTCAAGTCATGTGGGAGACGCATTTACTAGGCTTAAACAAGTTGAGCTAAAGTAGTCCAACCAGATACCCAAAAGCAGGAAATGAAAAACTGTACTGTGGTAATTTCCCATTGGTACCTTTAGATCCTGTTTCAGAGACTGATGACTCTTCAGAAGATTATAAGGTAGGACTTCCCTAGTGGCTCAGTGGTAAAGAATCCACCTGCCAATGCAGGAGACATGGGTTCGATCCCTGATCCAGGAAGATTCCACATGCTAAGGAGCAACTAAGCCCACCTATCATAACTGTTGAACCTGTGCTCTAGAGCCCGCGCTCTGCAACAAGAGAAGCCACTGCAATGAGAAGCCCGCACACAGCAACTAGAGAGCAGTCTCTGCTCTCTGCAACTAGAGAAAAGCCTGTGCAGCCATGAAGACCCGTGTAGCTAAAAATAAATCAAGTAAAATAAAATTTTATTTAAAAGATCATAAGGTAGCACAATAGATAGATCTTTGTTTCAGACCAATAAAAAAATAAAACCAATTAATGTTTTATGATGCTTTCACCATCCTCACATCTGAATTGGACATCATTAGATTTGGCCTGTGTAAACCTAAAACAATTTTGGTTCCTTGAATGCACCAATACTGTATTAATAACCATTTGTTCATTCATGTACTGGCTCTATCAATAAACATTTATCAAATGCCCATATTTTAAATTGACAGTAGCTGGGGATAAAAGGATCAATGACACCTGTGAAGAAACTCCCTGAGTAATAGAGCAAACTCACAAATGGGTGTATGGAGGATGCCACAGATGGGTATGTGGAGGATGCCATAAGGAGGTACATTGTTGTAACAAGAGAGAGAGGAAGCAAATCTCTTCAGCACTTGTCAGAGGCTAATGATACCAAAGTAGAAAATTACTTATTCAATAATGAGCTTAATACTATCCATTGCACATGTGTTCTTATACAATCTCAGTTTTCCAATAAGTCTAGGAGGTAGGCACCTATACACTAGTCCTATTTTCTTTTTTTTAAAGCATAGTTGATTTACAATGTTGTGATAGTTTGTCATTTACAACAATGTGTCTCTGTTTTATGTATATATAAGATATGCATATAATATGTATTATTTTTCATAATGTTTTCCATTACGGTTTATTACAAGATATTGAATATACTTCCCTGAGCTATAAAGTAAGACCTTGTTGTTTAGTCTTCTTCTCAAAACTGAGACATAGAAATTTTAGTTCCTTGTTTGGTTTTAAGAAGCTAATACAAATATCGATGCAAGGAATCAAACCAAACTTTACTCTTCCTGCAAAACTCATGATCTTTCCTGTTATGCTACACTGCCTCCTTCACCATTCTGTACACTTATATTGCAAGTAACAGCTTATGGAGAATTCAGGAAATGAAATATTGTGTTACATGCTTAATGTTTCCTCTTTTCCAATTTCCACAGAAATGCCCAAGTTAATGAGATATGGAAAACGCTTGTTATTGCTAGAAGCTAGAGAAAGGTACCATCTGTTCTCAAGAGTTGGAGGCAGGCAGAAAGAAGGAGACATCTGGTTGTTATCAAAGATAAAGCCAGACTTCATTAAAGCAGTTAGGACAGTAATTATTTCAATAGTACAGTTACGACAGAGAAGAGGGCCCAGAATAAACTGAACTCAACTTCCCCAAAACAGAAGACAAGAGAATTTTTAAAGGCTGGAGTGTGCTAAGGATAAGGCTCTCAGGGTTTTAATCCATGTGACTAGACCATTCAGATTTGTTAATTGCTGCTTCTTCAGAAGAGAAACAAACTTCCCCTTCTGACAGGAAACAGTGGTTGGTGTTGAAGCAAGGTGGTGTCCCTACCCAAGTTAGACACTTTCCTCCCTCCCATGGGAACTGGGCATGTTGTCTTCCTAACTCCCCGGACGTTTGCTTTCAAAGATGGCTGTCAGGACCCTGAAGAACGTTTTGGATGGTAGATTTACATCTCAAAGGGCAGATAGAGGACTTTAATTGCAGGATTTCTGAACTAACTGCTCTATGAGGGGTTTCAGGGGTCTCTCTGTCACCAAGTTTTGACTGGAAGAAGCAGTAAATTCTCCTGGAAACATTGAGTTTTCTCAGGCAGGCATTTAAAAGGGACCTGGGATCATTCCAGGACACAGCCTTAAACTGCTGGAAGCCGTTGGAGTCTGTCAAATCCCTTAGGGCCGAGGTTTGGATAGAATTCTTCTATTCTAAGAGTTCTACAGTTCTCATCAATACATAGCAAAATGGAAGACAGGTCAATGGCAAAAGAAAAAAGAGAGAGACATTTCTCTCTTGTACCTACCTGCCATAAAAGTTTTACTAACTTTTCACAGACACATTGTAAAGTAGTGGGATGGAGCTAATCTCAACCTCCGTCAGATGTCCAGCTCCTTGATGCAGCCCTTGAGAAAACAGGGAGAGCTGGAGAAGAGAGGATTTTTCTGAATGAATACATTGGTTCAAGGAAGAAAGTTCAGTTAACTAAGTAGAACTAGAGGATAGAAATGAGGAGAGAGTCTTCTAGACAGTAACAAAAAGATTTTGCTATTGATTCTGACACCCACCCGCCCCATGCCACACACACACTCAATGGGAGAATCTTTACAGATTAGCTTTTAGATTCTATGACTGCTACCCTCTATTCAATCACAATCCTACAAAAACAATTTGCTTTCTAAGTTATCAAAGAAAATTTTCCATAAATGTAAGCGTTAGCCTTTGCGTTTGTCTGCGACTGAAACAATTAAACAGTGAATACACAAATCATTGACAAATTAGGAAAAAACAAATCCCTCAGCATTTCAAAAGGCAGAAGGGGGAATTCCCTGGCAG